AAGTTTCCTTTGGTTTTCAGCTCTCTCTGTTTCGTTTTCTCGTTTATTCGTTTTTCTTTTTCAATGGCAAAATTTTCTTTTTCTTGAAGCTCTTTTTTTACGGGTGTAAACGTTATAATTCTTGCTGTAATCTTTTTCTTTTTAGTAATGGTCTCATTTCTAAAAGCTCTTGGAAGTGGTTTGATTTCTTCCACTGAAACCCTCTTTTTTTTTTTCGTTGCAATGATCACTTATTGTAGATTTTTGACGGTTAACATTTTCCACTTTTGTTTCAACATTTGCATTCCGCTTGAACCGGGTTGATCCATCAGATCCATTTCGTTGTTTGCCGAATTCCCATCATCAACAAACAAGGTTCTTTTTACTGCATCTGTTTTCGATCGGTTCATACACTTACCAGGATTCGGTGTTGGATTTTCATCCAGATTCTCCATTTTTTTTCTTTTTGACGTATCTTCTTAACGTCGCTTCAGGAATTGAAAACCGTTTCGCTACACTGTTGACAGATTTACGTTCTAAGACCTCATTGATGGCTGCCTCTATATTAATCCTGCCACTCCAAGATCGCCGATCCGATATTTTCTTATTCTTAGGCATTCTGAAAAAGACAGAACCAATTACCGTACAAAATTCGTTCATAAAAATACGCGGCATCTTACCCGCCACCATCACGTAGAATTAAAAAGGTCAAAAATAATTCAAAATCTATTACTTTTGGCAAACAACAAGACAATATTTTGCCTTAAACCTTATTTTTTCTATACAGATTAATTAATATTCAAATACTTACGTTGTGATACCATAAAACACTATTTTTAAGGGCACAAAAATTATAACCTGAGCTGTTCAAACGGCAAATGTCAAATAACTGTCGATCTGCAGACTGCAGCGCCAAGGCAAGTATAAAATTTAGTTCTGAAACTTATTCCTAGATGTCCGTATACGTTTCATGAAGAATTATTACATTTTAGAAATTATAACGAAAGTTAGTCATCTTAGTCGCTTCATCATATTACCCAGTTTTCCCCTATTGCTTTTGTTACCAAAGCTTTCAACTGCAGGTGCAACAATCTATGGTCCACTGAGGATGTGTGCCGCACTAGCAGTTGGAAGCTTTGGTAGCAAAAACAATAAACCACAGCCCAGCAGTCAGAAAAACTTTTTAATTACGATACCGACCGTGAAAGCCTACGGAGGTATATTAAATTAAGGCTTAATTTAAATGTATCTGTATCTGTACGGTTTCAAAAGTCGGAGCTCATCTTATAGATTAGTATTAGAAGAGTTAGTCCACCTAAACCGCCCAATAGAAAACGTCAGTCTCGTTCGCACCTAATATGGTTTCGTCCAAATAATTTATACAAAAAGAATAATCGACAAGATTACTTATAACCTTGTAAATAATGTATGTATATTCGCCACATCAGGAAATAATTTTTAAATATAAGAAATATAATAGAACATGTTGTGAGAGTTGTCCGATGTTTCAATTTTTTGAGAAATTATTTGAAGCACAAAATCTCAAAATAATCAAGGGAAGTTGTTTTTATTGGCGAAACTTGGGAGTTGTGAGAAAGAACTTCAACCAAAACTTCTTAGCAGGATGTAGACTATTGGAATTGTATTTTGGCAACGGCAATACCTATAAATACCTACATATACAGTTAGATGATTCTAAACAGATTCTCTCACCTCCACAACCTATACCAGTTATCAGATCTCGGACCTGTCGTTTCGGATATACAGAAAATCCCTTTAAAATTTAATTTACTACTGCCATTTTTCAAAAAATCTATCTGAACGAGGACCTTCGTCAAACCGTCCTAAAATTTACCTAACTATAGTTCAGGTGGTATGTATATGCCTACCATTCTTTATTGATATAGATTATTTGCGAACCACTGACTAACTGACTATCATGACATATTTTTATTACTTACCAGTCATGATACAGCGGGTGTACTTGACCCATACCTGAGTGGTTTTCCCTGCATTCGATTGTTGGTTCACTTTCATACCTAACGAGGTTTTATTACTTTACACCTTTATGAAACAAGACTATAATAGTAGCTTTAATAAATTCTAATGACTGAAGGTATCCCAAGATCTATAGTCTGGACCGAATAAGCCTGTAATTAAAAGAAGAGTTTTCATACATATATTTCATATATAAATGAGAGATACCGATGCATTAAAAGTATAGTTTGTCCAAAACTATGGTAAAAAATACAACTGAACATAATATAAACTTTTTTCTAAATTGAAACTCCGAGTAATGTTTAAAAAAAAAGTCAAAACGTCCGAAGGTTATCTCTGCCCGTTTCAAGTTTAGCCAACATCCGAAAAACGGAGCCAACCAAATCGCCTAATGAAATAAATTAAACATTTTCCGCTACTCCTGCGCTTGTAGCTGCCGGCGTTTGCTGCTAATGTAATTAAATAGCCGTAAGTGGCTGAAAACCCCCGGAATCAGTGCATGTACACGTTCCTCCTAGTGCTGTAAAGAAAATAAACACATTGCTACAAAGATTATTGGATTTACTCAAGCTAATAGAGCAGTTAGAGAGCGTTAATTAAATGGAGGTGATGCACAATTGCGGCAGCGTAAAGATTTTGTTTAGTTTGATAACCGGAAGATCCGATTGGGGACACTTCTTGTCTTTAAATGCGTTATACTGAGTGGATCAAATTAAACTATGAGTAGCAACGTTAAGCCACGAATGTTCAATTTATTTATTTATTTTATTTATACATTTTGATTGGTTTTAAGTTTTGTTTTGGTTTTTGAAGATAGCAAGGCAAATAAAAAAAAATAGAGTTATCAGTCCATTTTTAATGCAACAGCGTTATACTGAGTGAATTGCATTAACCTATGAATGTTAAGAAAAGGTTGTTCAGTTTACTTATTTATTTATTTTATTTATAAACAAATATAAACAAGGATCATCAGTCATTTTTGTTGCCGTTTTTCCGTAGAATTTAGTGGTATACTTAGGTATCTTCTATGTTCAATTCATTTAATAAAATAAATAAACCAAACTTAATTTTTTAAATAGACCAGCTTGTATTTCTTTACATAATACGATTGAGTTTGTCAAGTGCATCTCAAAAATATATACATATTTAAATTCATATGGTTGTTTTAATAGTAAGTATTTTTTGTAACTAAAATATATATGCTGGTAAAACAAAAAATTTCGTTTTAATTATGCCAAATAAAAATCTTAGTGGATGGCTTATGGAACTGGATCATAGTGTTGCTCAAATTGTTTTCTATTAACATGTTTGACACGTGATTCTTATGCATATAAAATTTCACTGCCATTTCTAAAATCTGCCGTTGTTTGTTACTGGACCGTATATATTTTAATTTGTAGGTAATAATTCGGGTGGCCGTCTTAGGTCTTTTTGTTCCAATCCAGTGGTCAGGAGAAGTAGGCTTTTTGAAAATTCGTGCATAAATTATTACGCTCATATAACGGAATTTTCAAAGTTATTATCAAAATTTACTTGATGTAAATAATAATTACCAAATTGTGGCGCTGTGCGATGTCATGAGCTAAGTTTTCAACCAGGTGAAATTTATATGGCTCAAATTTTTGTTATTTTAAAATCGTTTGAAAGTTAAATTTAATAATTTCGAGACAATCTTCTACTTTCCCGCAAAAAGAACGTGGATTTATTCGAAATCATGCCGACACATTAATATCATCAATCTCCCTGTTCTCCTTATGGTAAATATTGGGCCAGGATTTAAAAAATGATCCATTAAGTTTGATTTTAATTAATTATTTGAAAAAATAGAAAAGTTTTGAATTTAACCAACTAACATGTCGCATCAAGCAAGTTTTTAAATTTAATGGTGGCTGCCATAGCTTATTTTGACCTTTTAATTAAAATTTGTAGCACAAATTACAAAAAACGCAATCCGCAGTGTTCTAACAGAAACTCAACTCAACTCAAAACTCAAGAACTTCTGACTACGACAGGACTGTGTTATTTAATTTTTAATATAACTCGTCCTGACCTACCAACAAAAACGAATATTTTTTGTATAATTTTAATATATACAGGATGACCCATTCAAAAAAAAAATTGTTTCTTTAATTCGTCGAAATTTTTTAAAGATTGAAACAATCTTAGTATACCATTAAATTTTACGCAAAAAAGGGCAACAAACCCACTTGTTACTTTTCTAATAATCTTTAAAACAACCGCTTTATTAGAAAGCTCCTTCTGTCTGCATGCGTCTTTGTATTTTAATTTGTGTTATAATATATAATATCTTAACCGGTTAAAAATGTTTTATATATGTAATCTATTATCTTTGTTATTTCTAATGTTATTTGTAACATGTGTGAAAGCTTGTGTATGGTAACAGCAATAAGCAATGTCAAACCGAATCCAAAATTAGTAAACTGAAAAGTGGTAGGCTGTTAGTGTCTACCATGTACATCTCAAACAGAAACAACATCTTCGTGAGATGTATTTTCCGGAGATGAAAAGCTAATCGTAGAACTGAACCAGTGCAGCCAAGACAGAATTATTCGCCATAATTATATAAATATGTTGCATACCAGCATGATATCAAATTAAGAGGTATGTAAAAACAAGCACAACATCACAGTTTTTTTTGTAAAGCAGAACAAACATCATCGCATTCCAAGTTGTATGTTTTGGAATAGAAATAGTTTGATATCGATCGACAATCTCTACTAAACAATGAGTTAACTGGTTGCATGGTTATTTACTAACATTACTAGGATTATTATCAAATGGCGTTAATCCATTTTACACGCCGTTTGGTTAGTATTGTTTTGAATGGAAGCTCTATCGAGAGCCAACGAACCGCAAGCAATGGTAACCTCTGGTGTATGATTCTATGACTTTACAACGTCCCATCGCGTTGGGGGTTCTCAAAAATAATTTTATCTCTTTTCTACGTCTAGTAGCGCTAATCGGATTAATTAAAAATCGGTATTCACTACTGCACAACTTACCCGTTCGGGGCAGCTTCCGAATTCTTCTCCAAAAATGCTTCCTCCATCGGCGAAAAGGGCCACAATCCAAAACCTTACCGTCCCAATTACCGAAACACTTTTACCTGTACGTTTTTCCTATAACGAATCAAAGCTTTTTCGATTTTTACAATCGCGCCGCGAGGGAAGCAGACGGGGGGAAACTTAAGCGGACGTTCGCGTGCACATTCACCCGCGTTTAAGAAAAACGAAAACAAAGTACCTCCATCGGCGGCAGCTAAAAATGATCAAAAGGCGAACATTTGACAGCGAATGTGCTCGCCGTTAGCCCGGGAACTGAACGGATTTCGTATGGATCCATTCGTCGGCGCGATTGGGGGCAACCTTCTACGTCGAGCGCGCGAAAAGCTCCGAGGACGTGCCGCGCGGATAGATCGTTACGCGGAACTTGCGTCCTTTTCGCCCCTTCTTCGGTCTAGTTCACCCCGAGCGGGTCTCCCTTTTCATCGAACGCGCAGCGGCGCAGGGAAATCGAAAAAAATCCGGCCGTGCGGTTTGTCCATTTACGATTTGCGGCCGTTATTATCGTAAGAATTAGAGTTTTGCAGAGTTTTAGGCCGGGGCTCCGGTTAAAGTCGAAAGCGACCGTTTGTTTATAGGTGTCGCGGAAAATTCATTTCTTTGTGCCAACATTTTTTGTCACAAATTTGATTTGAATCCGGACGGGGATCTGTAAACAATGTCGTACCCTTTACTCGTGTTACAGTATTTGAAAAGGACGCTGTGTTTTTCTACTTGGGATCATTTGATAGTCATGGTAAACATGTGTGCAATCTCGAATAAAGGAAACATAGATTTTCTCTCCTTTTTCAAAACTAAAGAAAATTACAAGGAGTGTTGCTTGCGTCCCAATGAGAGAATCCAAGCAATAATGCCAAGATTCTAAAAATGCCCTCTCTCTCTGACCGAAGAATAATATGGCAGTCTACAAGTAACAAAATGAAAGCAAAAATTGCAAGGAAATGCGCGTACCATAAACCCATCGTTTAAATGACGAGGAATACTAAAAGTTTGTCTTTATTTTTTGTTTACGTTTAGGGCAGATGTATTACCCGTTATTAATTTTAATTCTAAGACACATTTATATACTAGTGCAGACAAGCGTAAAGTCCAACCAACCAACCAACCAACATTTTTAAGACACGGGAAAGGAAAATTGAAACCAGCACAACAGAAACACAAACAACGACCATTCAAAATGGTCGAGTCAAAGCGACCGAGGAACTGGCCCGCAGCTGCCCTGGTCTAAGGAAGGAGGTGGGAGAAAATGAGAGAAACGTACGTGGATCTTATACGAAGTACGCAGACCATCGAGACAAACAGAAGACAGAAGCATGTAAACTTCTGTTGCCAGTGGAAGGGAAGGACATTGAAGATATTTACGAACAAATCCTGGACCTGAGGAGCATACTTAGAAAGGAAAATGAAAAAAAAAATGGACGGTGATTGTCGGAGACGACTTCGACAAAAGAAAAACCCGGAGACTTTTGGAGAGCGTGCTGAGAAGAGAAGATGTTGAACTTACAATGCTGGTACCACGTGAGGCTCCTAAACCTAGAAACACTAGACAAAGGCAGGACTACGAAACAGTTATTTTCAGGAACGCGGGTGCTACTTATGCCGAACTGCTCAAAAATGTTAGAAATAGGGTAAAGCCGGAAGATATTAATGTAGATGTGAGAGGTATACAAAAGACCGACTAAGGAGATAGACTGTTTAAGATTAAAAAGGGATTCCATTAAAAGAGGAACTGAAGAAGAAGATCGGAAGTGAATCAGGATAAGGATACACTCGTTCACATAAAGGATCCACGAAGGAAATTAAAGAGTTGTAGGGCAGGTTGAATTTACCCTCTCTTCCCTGATATTGTTACACTAAAGGTAGACAGGCTAAGCAGAAAAAAAACTATGTGGCAGAATTCGGATAGGCTTAACAAACTGCTATATCAAGGACAGAGTAAACGTGACTAAGTGATACACTGGGAGAAGAGAGGAAAGACAATTGTCTCAAGTGCGAAGAAAAGAGTCTCATACAAAGAGATTGCGAGCTCCATGAAATGTCCTAAGTTCAGAAAAAAGATACTACAAAGGAGAGGAAGACTTAAAAGCTCAGTACCCCAAAATGGCTAGCAATAAAAGAACTCAGACTCAGACATCCATGACAGTACTACAGATCAACGCAAACAGATCTAGGGTGGCTCACGATCTACTCTTGCTCGCGGCAGTCGACAGAGGTGTAAAGATAGTGGTGATCAGCGAACCGAACAAGAAACTGGTTAAGAACATCAGGGCGGGTATTGCAGTGTTCTTCCGTAACAGAAGGATAACCGTATACCGAATAGAAAAGAACGATAGATATCTAATCATCAAGCTAGAGAGATTCAAGATTATAGTTGTGTATATCTCCCCCAATATCACCAATGACGACTGTGTGACCAAAATAGACAAAATTATGGGGCATTGTCTAGACACGAAAGAGGAGACCATCCTGTTGAGAGACGTTAACGCGAAATCACCACTCTGGGGGTCCCCATTGGTTACAAAAAATTTGAATACCTGTCGGTTTGGTCGACGGCAAGAGACATTGATGTTAAAAACACCGGGCTCAAGCAGACTTTTATTAGAGGAAACACGCAACCAGCAAAATCTCTAGAAGCATTGCGGGAGGGAAAGTTCTGGACGACGAGGAACTTACGGAAGAAAAAGAAGAAAAAGAAGAAGCAAAAAGGACGTAACTTGAAGAAAAGAAAATACTTGGTGGACTCGGTAGACTTCGTGTAACTCGGTTACCAGTAACGGCGTGTGCATGATGAACAGTATAAGGGAATCGTATAATAACACTATCAGGAGCAAGGAGAAACACAATAGATGGCCCTATTGGTGGAACATCGAAATAGCAAACAAACGAAAGGAATGTCTTAAATGGTGGCTCAAAGTAACACCGGGGGGGGGGGGGGGGCTGAAAGCCCTGATTGGCGGGAATACAAGGACTGCAAGAAAACGCTCAGAAAAATGATAACGAGAGCTAAGGAAACACACTGGAATAACATATGCGACGAATTGAACGACAATGTGTGGGGGATTGGATACAAAATCGTCACCTGCCGGATGCTCAGGAGCACACCGGTGGATTTCACTGTGCAACAGCAAATGCATATAGCGAAAGATCTTTTCCCCATTTCAAGAGAGGTCAGGGTGATGGACTTTAGACCGGTTCGAGATGTTAAGGAATTCACCAGGCAATTCACCAGGCAAGAGTTAGATGAACTAACGTGGAAGATCAAAACGGAAAGGCTCCCGGCCGGATGACATCCTGCTGCAGGCGACTAAGGAAACCGTAGGGTGCATACCGGAAGTAGTTCTAAGAGTCTTGAATTACTGCGCAGGAGATCTTCCCAGAGGTATGGAACAAGGCCAGGCTGGTGCTAATCCCCTAATCAAATGCGTATTGGATAAGCTGTACGAGGGTCTAATCAAGCACAGACTTGAGCAAGAGTTAGACTACAGGCGGCGGCGTCGTAAAAACAACAAAGAGAACAAATGATAGATGCCGATAACGCGCTCGATGTAAAGAACGCTTTCAATAGTGCATCTTGGAATACTGGTATATCAGAAATGAAAAGAAATGGAATATCGAGGTAGCACCATGCTGAAGTATAGCAAAAACTGGGAAACTGTCGCAGATATGATTGTAAAGATCATGACACAAAAAAGGGGGAAGGAGAGACTGAAATAGAAAACAGGCCAAACGCCTACTACCATCCACGACGAATGTCGCAAAGTGATACCGGAGGGGCGGAGGAATGAGGAATAAGGTGCGTTTAGCGGGTAGACCTGGTCGCTGCCAAGGGAGTCCCGCACTGCCAAGGGAGGAAAGAACTGGTACCGAATGTCTATAAAAGATTTGCACCTGTCAAAAAAATAAACATAAAAAAAGATGCTTCCATTGTTTTTAATGAATATAGCTTCCTTAAATTTTTGCTTTTTCTAATGCGGTTCCCCGAGGACAACGGGAGCTTCGAACCATTTGATGTTGTGTTCTTCGGTCCATACATGTTTCTGACTTTGTTCTTGTAAATATGCTGCTTAATGTTAACCCGAACTTAACTTAACTTAATTATTCGACTGATGTTTCACATATGGGATCGTCAAGACAAATCCTCAAATCCTTCTGTTTCTTATCCCTTAAGATTTGATAATATTTTGTCAATTCATTTTCGAGTGCAGCCATTATGAAGCAAATCCTTTTTAACAGTGCTTAATTCTACAGCGACTTATACTTTGATTGCTTTTTAGCAAAGTGGTTGGATGATTCTTAGTTTTGGTTACTTTAGAATAGTTGGACTCCAAATTTAAATACTCTCCGGTATATACACTGATATAGCCATTATTGTCACTTACTAGCACATCTAGGAACCACCTCTCTAGAACGGAATCTAGTTGTCTATTGGTTTCATTTCAGGTAATGAAGGTATCGTCAATATATCGAATCAAGACCGTCGGTTTAACAATTGCTGCACCTATAGCGTGAGTTTCAAACTATTCCATGTATATAGTCTCGACCACCAGAAAGAGATGGGAACCCATTAGTGTGCGTAAAACTAAGGCTAAAAATAGGAGTTATGCGGATAGCCCCTAAGGAGCTCCATCATTACCTTCAGCGGTAACGAAGCTCTGTCTGGTCAGTCCTCAATCAGGTCTCCACAATATCTAACGATTCATCCAATTACACATTGGTCTATTAACTTTCCAAAATCAAAGCTAACAAACTTTTCTGAAGGGCATAATTTTACGTTTTCCAAATATCTAAAAAATGAGCACAGTTCTTTACAAATCAATGAGTTTCTCCCACAAGTGGGCTGCACGATTTGAAGGAGAAATCTACTGCGGTTAGTTGCGGAATTACTCAAACTGGTGATACCGATACAGGGTGTTTTTTAAGATAGGGTTTTCCTTTTAATGTGAGACAGAATTTTATAAACGAACCAAATATCTCAACTTACATTTTCTCGAAAATTCAAAACTGTATTTAATACCAAAAAAAGCTGAAATATTTAACAAAAAGTGTAGTAAATCTCAAACATGACGCAAAATCATCATTCAAATGTAAAGCCTAAAGAAACTGTTCAAAATTGCGACCATGAGATTCATTCACTTCTAGAATAAATTTAGTAAAATTTTCATTGGGGGCATTTTGATGCAAAAACTACCGACAAAACTGCACTGCGCGTAATACAGTTGATTTTCACATATCTCTACATTTTAGTCTGCTCTGGTACTGGTAGCTGAATCTTC